TCTGTCTGTATGTCTGTCCTCGTACGTCACCCCTATTTATGCGTAGATCTAATACGGTAGATAGATACTATGCATTACCAATGCAATTTTCAATTTTTCATTGAAAGTGGGAGCGGTCACAGTAAGATAAAAATGGCAACCAACACACTGGAAGAATTCATGAGCTTTCTAGCAGCAATATAAGGCAGATACCGTCTAAAGACTTCCCCAGCAGCTATAGAAGGTTTTAAATTCAATTAATAACCTATGAAGCTCGTTTTTACTGATGCAATTGCTATTAAAACTGTGAAAGTCAATCAAGCTTTTTCTCAGTCATCTCAGTTAATACATGATTGGATAATATTATATCTAAAGCTAAGTAAAGCATCTTTACAGACATTTATAGGCAAGAAATGTGTATGCGAAACTAGAAGACTAAAAGTTTATTAATTTTAACTGAGCAGCATTAAACTTTCATCATGTATATAAATCATGTTTGCTATGCCTAAATCATGATGCATGCTTTGAAATCATCGGGAGTAGATTATAGATGGATAGATCCAGTGCCATAATTGCTTTGCTAGCTTAGGCTCGCCCCTTAATGTTCTACATTGCTTCTAGTATGAATAGTTTTGGATTTTCATTATTCATCTTGTGTGATTTCGCTCACAACGCCCTTTAAAGTGGGCCGTCGCGCCTTTGTTTTGCTCGAGCGGTTTTGCTGGAAAATGTCAGGTTAGTTTCCCTTGATGTACTTTTCCTAACTTTGTTTTCCTTTCTATACAGGTACTTACAAATTCAAATGGAGGGCTAAGCACTCAGCTCCAGTAATAGGAGACTCACTCTACCTGTGGGGAGGGGACGAGCTTGATTTACCTGAAGTACATGATTCACCTCAAAAGAGGAAACTGACCTCAACAGTTGAGACATTTTCCTTTTCATCAGCTCGCTGGTCCTCTCACCTAACAAGAGGTACTCCTCCATTAGGAGTCATTGGCTACTCCTGTACCACCTTTCGTTCTAATATTTATTATTATGCTGGCTGGTGTGGTCATGATCAGTGTTACCACAACAGTTTAACTGTACTAAATACACTGACCATGAGCTGGACTCAATTGCATCCTAATGATGAGTCCAGGATGAAGAAAATCAATGGTGGAATGCTATCACTGGAATTTGATGGAACTGACTATCTTCTTATGGTCGGAGGGTCAGGTCCTACACTACCAGCTGTCAAACATCCTCAGTTTCAATATGACCAGATTGAGAGCCGTGGTGTCTTTACTAATGAACAGTTGCTTTATAATCTATCTAATGGTGAGTTCTAGTTTTTGTATTTTCTATTGTCTTTATTTATCATTTATTTTTAGGTCAATTCACAGTTCCATCTGTCAGTGGACAGTGTTGTCCACCAACTAGTGGCTTTACAATCAACAAAATAAATAAAAATAAAGGAATAATAGTGTTTGGAGGAGGAGTAACTAATGATGAGATTACATTTAATAATATTGTGTACATTTTTACTGTGGCACATAACACAATAGTAAGTTATTAGGTACTTCATTATCTACATGTACAGTATAACTGCTCATAAATGCCTCATATCAGCTTTAATAATAACTAGGTGAATGTAAACATTGAGGGGGCGAGCATGAGCTATCGATGCGGATTAGCTTGACTTTATTGAAATAAAATAAAATAAATTTAATCTATATAGCTCTTAGTCTAATAAGAGAGATAATATTCATCCTCTAGTCTGTGAAACCATTACCTGCACAGAGCAAATATCATTGATTGTAAAATAAAATAAATTGATTCTAATCTAGCTCTTGATAGGAACATTCATCCTTGTTCAAGACCATAACTTACATGCATATTCAGACCCCGACCTCATGGTCGGGGTCTGAACGGTGCAAATATCACCTGTCACCACTAACAAAACTAAGTAACCAATCATCAACCAATAAAAGAGACAAG